ATTGATACGCTGCAGCAATTCCTCACGGGTATCGACTTCGGTGGCGTAAACTTTTTGATTTAGATATCCCCAGAAAAAGAAGTCCAGCGGGGTTAGGTCGGGAGAACGCGGCGGCCAAGCTACCGGTCCGTGCCTCCCTATCCACCGTCCAGCGAAATTTTCGTTTAGGAAATTTAGAACATTGCGACCACTATGTGCCGGGGCTCCATCGTGTTGAAAAAACATGTTACGTCGTAAATTTAGAGGCAGATCATCGAGAATTTGGGGAAGATTTTCTTGAAGTAAGTTTAAATAAAGATTTGAATTGAGACGTTGTGGAATTTCAATAGGTCCAATCAGAGTGTCGTGAATTATTCCCGCCCATAAATTTATGGAAAACCGTTGCTGGAAGTTTGTTCTCCGAACAACATGTGGGTTCTCTTCTTCCCAATAATGAGAATTATGAAAATTTAATTTTCCATTTCGGGTAAAAGTAGCTTCGTCACACCACAAAATTTTGGAAGCTTGCTCGTTGTCCAGCGACAAAATCCAGCGACAAAATTGCATACGTGGCGCAAAATCTTCTGGTATCAAGCCATGTACACGTCGATAGTGATAGGCATGTAGACCTTGTCGCTTTAATATTCTTCCAACCTGAAATGTTAGTAGCACATCTAATCAATTCTGTTAAGGAAATCTTTAAGATATGTAGTACCGTTGGCCGAGGAACATTTATTTGCCTTGAAATGTTCCGTATGCTAGTCGTAGGATCTTGTTCAATAGCGTCAAGGACCTCCGCTTCCCTATTAATCCTGGGACGTCCTTGACCCGGTGCCTTTCGAAAAGTGGCGGTTGCAGCTAAGTTGCGGAATACCGTAGGGAATGTCCTCCTTGATGGCAGCCTTAGGTTTGGAAACCTTCTCCCGTACTCGCGTTCTGCCGCTGCAGCATTACCATCGCAAAAGCCATAAATAAATATCATATCAACTAACTCTTGTCCCGTAAACTCTTCCATTTTTTTCGCTTAGAACTATTAAATTGGCAATCGGGAAAACAATACTTTGACATAAGAATACCTTGATAATTTTGTTTATTTGTTCGCATTATTTATATACAGGATATCCTGGTACTTGATACAAAAAAGTCGACTATAAATAGATGAGGTCAAAATAATATCAGTTCTTCATATAATTTTTTTCATACGGTCCTACGTTAACAAATTACGGGCCCTCGAAGGTGAAAATTAAAAAGTTATTTTTATTTACAGTCTCTAAACTATTAATTTCAATATGATGAAAATTTGGTGATCGATAGCGTACACCTTGTTTTTAATGTTGTAGAGATAAACTATGCCCAACTGTAAACAACCCAGAATTTTTGCATAGATGACGATCGCTACATGCCTGCATAAAAAATAAATTCCTTGAAAAATTTGCCAACGAAAATACCCTCTAGGTGCAACTCGGTAAAATTAACAGTTTAGGAAATATTTCTGATTTTGTCACAGTGCACATCGAGCGGCGCCTCCGCCATTTTTTGTTTTTAATTTTTAATTGGACATAATAACTATGTTGGAACCGTACATATTTTAAAAATAAGAGCCTAGAAAATCTTATGGTCTGCTAATGTAATTTTCACTAACATAATTTGACAAATGCACTTTACACATAACACAAAATAGAAAAAAAGACAAGAATAACTTAAAGTAAGTACCTATTAAATTATTACCCACTATTAATGTATGGGCAGGAATAGTGAATTTAATAGGTCCTTACGTTTTTGAGGAACGTTTGAATGGACATCGATATTTGGAGTTTTTGCAAAATAATTTGCAGCCATTATTAGACGATGTTCCATTAGACAGCCGAAGAAACGTTTGGTTCATACACGATGGGGTTGCTCCCCATTTAAATATTGATATACGAAATTATTTATACATTGTGTTTAATGGATTGGGAGAGGAGGCCTAATTTCATGGCCACCACGTTCTCCAGACTTTAACCCGATAGACTTCTTCCTGTCGGGATACCTCAAAAGTTTAGTGTACGCAACCCCAGTACAGACAAAGGATGAATTTCTACAAAGATTTAATTTTCATTGTGATAACATTAGACATACCCCAGAAATGTTTTTCGTGTACAAGCAAATTCGTAGACTTAGGAAGTGTTTAGAGGTAGTAAGTGCCCTTATTGAAAATATATTTTGATTCTTTTTATTAAATTATGTTTTTAACTTTAACTTATTCTTGTTTTGTTTTTCTATGTTGTGTTATGTGTAAATTGTGTTTGTCAAATTTTATTAGTGAAAATTACATTAACAGACAGGCACTTATTTTAAAAATATGTACGCTTCTAACATCGTAATTATGTCCAATTAAAGATTAAAAACAAAAAATGGTGGAAGCTCGATGTCCATCGTGACATAAAGTCACAAATATTTAATAAACTGTTAAATTTACCGAGTTGAACCAAGAGGGTATTATCGTTGTCAAATTGTTCAGGGAACTTATTTTTGATGCAGGCGGACATCGATCGTCATCTATGCAAAAATTTTGAGTCGTTAACCGTTGGGTATAGTCCGTCCCTGGCGTTCTGGACATAATGAAGTTTCACTTACAACATCAAAATCAAGCTGTACGCATGTGTTATGGATCACCAAATTTGCATCATGCTTAAGTTAATAGTTTAGAGACTAATAATTTTTTAATTTTCTCCTTCGAGGGCCCGTAAATTGTTAACGCAGGCCCGTATGAAAAAAAATTATATGAAGAACTAATATTATTTTGACCTCATCTATCTGTACTCGACTTTTTTGTATCAAGTGTCAGGACACCCTGTATATGTTAATAATATATTTAGTGTTAAAATAATATGAACAAATCTCTTAAAATAGTTGTTTCAACATTTGATATATTAATAGTTTTCAGCATATATGGTCCACAGAGAAAATGTACCTTATTTTATTGAATTAAATATGATCATAAGGCATGTAAATAAATATTATTGCTTTTTAAAATTAAAAAAAAACATATGCGATGGCCGGGAATCGAACCCGGATCAACTGCTTGGAAGGCAACTATGCTGACCATTACACCACCATCGCACTTGCAAAGTTTTTTCGGGATTTGAAACCGTCGGTTACCATATAATACATATTCGTATTGCTGGTTGCATAGCTATAATAGTAACAAAAGGAACAGAGAAATTACAGAAAATATATTGAAATTGGAGCTCCACGTAAGTACAGAAGTCAAAATTATGCATTTATACATTAATTATATTCCAATACGTCGTTTTTAACTTTTCGTTTTTGGAAATTTCAGCTCCATCAGGTTATAAAAAATTAGTTTCGATCGATGGGAATTAAAAGCAAATATTATGTATTTTGTCCTATGAATATCTTTACGCCAATTTTTTTTTTGGATTTCTTGCTAAACTACTGATATAGATCTTAGAGAAAAACGACCAACGTTCTCAGAAGATACAAATGAGGAAATATTCTGTATATTTTATCCAGATTTTAGTTACTTTTATATTGTTACATTTAAATCAAATTTATTTGAACCCTGGGTGTAGGATGCGCAGTGGTAAAAAAGTGGAGTGAGGAACGGATTCCTGTACTATGGTACCTGTTGCTTGCATTGCCATCTCATTTCTACACCAAGTGCGTTCTCTTTTTGATACATAAATTTCAGGGCTTAAATGAAATGTATGCAGTTGTTTATATATTTCTTCTTTATTTATTTGGGTATTTTAACACCCGTAAAAAATGAAAATTAGCGAAATAACTCTTGCGCCAAAAGAATCTGTGAAAGGTTATTTTTAGTGAAAACAATTTTGTTTAATCAAAAATCTCACAAAAAAAACACTCGCATAGGTATATAAAATAAGGTATTTTGCATTTTCAGTGTAAGACTTTTTGTCAGGCAAAACTATTATCAAAATAATAAAAATAAGCTTTGACATAGGTATCCTTTGAGAACAAGAGTCTATTTAATTAATTTTTATTTTTTGACACGTGGCAAAATACTCAAATACTTTTCACAGGTGGCCAAATAAACAAAGAAAAAGTACAACTATGTAACAAATAAATAACTTCAATTAATATATTGAGTATGTGGAGCAACGGACATCCACGTTGACAGCTAGAGAAAATGAGTTATTCTCATTTTCGTACAATGATAAATATTAAAAAACGATTGTAGGAATAGCATTGTATCAACTCGTACATAAAAGTTTTTTTGGTACTTTACGTGTTACCAAACTGAGACTTCCCTAGTCCAAACACATTTCCCTTTTGTACTAGTTATATAGTAATTAAGGTACCTAGGGACTCTAGGGTGTTATATGGATAATAATGCGCCGACATCGACAGTGTACTTGACCATTGTTATCCTATAATGCCCGTGATGAACGTTTATTGTCCTACTAATTATTGTATCATTTAATTTCAAAAGTGTATTAAATATAGTAGTATTGTAGTAGTGTATACTACTACATGTATTTGACGTTGACAATAAATGTACTTGCAATTTATATTTTTGTATTGACTTGTTGCCATGATTATGTATTTTTAATTTGCCCTAGGGCACTTTAGATATTCGCAATGCCGGTCGTTATTTCCTATTTCTTCTATCTCAATATGAGGCGTTAATTACAAAATAAACTAATAGCATATTTAATAAATATTTGTTAAGCTTAGAAGGCCAGAAAACATGCGATTTTTATAATTTTATATTTCTTTGGCCCATCAGTTAAATAATAGAAACAATTAATTCTATTGGAAGTGTACCTTTTACTGTGCATTCGAAAAAGTATTTAGCCTCTATTACTAACTGAAAATTAGTTATGAATTCTTCAGGTAAATGGCCAATGGGTAAAATACTACTTATTTTCGTTAATTTAATTATTTCTCCTTTGGCATATTCAGTTTAGCTAAAGCAACGAAACCTTTATATTGAGAAAGCCTATTTTCGCATAAATACCCATTTTATACTCAGTTCCTAATCTGAATTTATTTTGTAGGTTAGATCAAACAATGAACGTTGTAGGACCTCTGGTGTTACTCTGTTGCATTATTGGAGGATATAGCTCGCAACTTGAAGTGCTAAATCAATGGACACTATTAAATTTTGATCTACCATTTGAATATAGTTACGAAGATATAAGGTAAGCAAAAGATAGAGTAACAAACAATAAGAAATAGTTCTGACATAGATCAAGTCCAGTATGTGAATTCTCAGAAGACAGGTTAAAAGAATGTGAACTAATATACCTACAGTGAGTAGAAGAGTTGATATATTGTTTAAGAGTTACGAAAAGCAGTGACTAAAGTTTTCGCAACACTTTCAACCAATAAACAAATCAAGTGGCGCAGCGGCGTATAAAAAAAGTTAGCGAGAATTTTTGTAAATAACTCCTTTATTTTTTAGATACCATACGAAATTTACTAGGTGATGGAGTTAATGTCTGGGAAAACCGAACATATAATATTTTATATGCACTTTGGTTCGATCACATTTTTTTTTGGTTAGTAGTGATTTTAAGAAAGTGCACATTGTTTTCCTAGCAGCTGAGTATTTTGGAGAATTCAAGTCTAATTAAACTTTTTTTGCTAAATCACCTTTACCAACTTGAACTTGCCTTTATTTAAAATAACTATGAGATACAGCCTTTCGATTGCACTTCTGGGAATTTATATTTTAAAGGTTTATTTCTCAGTAGAAATATCTTCAAATAGAGAGAGAGAGAGAGAGATCTAAGTTGTAAAAAAATTAATGTAAATTAATTAGATTATAGGCAACTCAAATACTCTGCTCCTTTGCGTGACTGATAACTGTAACAAAATTGAAATAATGCAACAATTTACTGAGAAAAATGACTGATAAAAAGTTTATTTATGGCAACTATCTTTCGTGTGCAGTATTGGTGCTTATTCTTTTCCCATTGGTTAATATTTATTTTTAGAGACTTAGTTGTTTTTAGATATGAATTTTTAGAAAATTAACTTACATTTTAATATTTACGAATCATCGGTCAATTCCAGAAAGTTCATATTTCATTTTGCACTTTTATTTGATTTGATTTCGAAATAATTAAGTAAACTATGACAGGCTGAATATTGTTTCCATCTATAGCCTATACAGTGGAATATCTTTGTTCCCATATATTTCTTTTATTTGCTTATTAATATTTATTAATGTTAGTGTAATTAATTTATGTGATTATTAATGATCTTTCAAGTTATTTACTTTGACTTAAATATGCATAACTACAAATATTCTATTACTAGTAAACCAGTAGGTTCTCTGTAATCTTTCGATTTTAGGACCGCCTATACTGTAATGCAAAACATCATCATTCTTTTTTTTTATTAAAAATTACATTACGAACTATAATTTTTGTGAATTTTAACAACTTTAGCTATCTTTTATTTTTAAAATATAGCTACAATACTATAAAATACATATCTTCCATATGTTTAAGAGATATAGAATATACAGTTCTAATAAAAATAACCTCTTTCATATCTAAACATGGGGAATATTTCTTGAAAACAACTAATTCATCGCTATCATAGCTATGCATTAACTGTTATCCTTTTTTGCTAATAACAAGGTGATATTTACCTATGAAATGACAGCAAATAATAATAAAATTTAAAAAAATGTTTACTTTGTTAATAATTTACAAAATAAAATAACTACAAAATGTACGATGTGTGATTCACATTCATGTTTGAAATAATAAAAATGAATTAAATTTGGTTTATGAAACTAGTTCATATAAAATTTTTTACACATAAGATTCAGTTGGTGACCATATCTCTGGCCGAGAAATAGTCAAATTTCTGTGTTTTTAGGTACTGAAATCTTGAAATGTAAAACGTGTAGAACAAAAGTAAGCACAAAAATAAAATTCTTGATGTTCTGTTTATTCATTGTTACTGTTTAAATTTACTCAAATAAAGTAATAACTTAAAAAAAGCGTTTGTAAAACATGCGTTTGCTGTTATCCTAATCCTACATTTTATGAATTATTTTCGCGTAGGTACTTATAGATAAAAGTAAACAATTTTATATGTAGAACTATACTTCGCGGTAGAAATTATAGAGAGTGACTAATCGCTAGCTTTTGGACTAGTAAGGGGGATGAAGCGTGCCGGGAACGAAAATCCATTGGTGTGTCTGCGTAAAAGGCAACAAAATATAGAAAATATTGAAAAAAGATAATAAAACATAACATCTAATATTTTTTTACGGTTTGCTATAACCGGCACTTTGATCCATTTTAATTATTACAGCATTTTAAAACGTCCCAATTGTGTTTTTTTTTAATTTATAAATTTATTATAGGCATGGAATTAGACCCCTCGTCTACGCTTATGATATGACGATTCTCAGGACGGATAAATCCAGTCCGTTTACACCCACTAAAAAGTCATTTCCCTATTCACTAACACGTGCAAAAGACAGAGATAGAATATAGATCGACGTTCAGTGTAACTCAGTCTATAGACGATTATAGATTCTATCGATGTGCGTAGCGAGCGGCACAAAAATAAATAATATTGAACCGTATAAAAATCATTTTATATTTTATACGCAATATGGTAATAGTGTTTTTATATAATGTCTGAGTCACTCTCTATAACTTCTACCGCGGAGTATAAGCAAGTATATGTTATAAGAATATTTGCTTGTGGAGTTATATATAAAAAAGTTAGTATTTTCATAGATTTCAGTACCTAAAACCTTGATGGTTTGATCGTTTCTTGTACCTGTTTATTCGTTTTACTGCGGCGTCTTTGAAAATACGCAGATAGGATGACATAACATTCCTATTATTTGATAAACTTTAGAATATTCAGTTTGAAATTATTTGTCTTTGTGGAAAACATATTTAAAAAATACTGTCCCCTTGAATTCATGTTTCTGATGCATTATTATCGTTTTCTGTTAAAAAAAAGCATTTTTATAATATGGAATTTTTAAGACATTTACATTTTACTCTATATTATTAAGGAAATGTCCATAAAACCATTAAAAAATACATATTAACTTCCGTATTCTTTTTGCCGGGGCCGCATTTGGCCGTTTATAAACAAAGTGACAACAAATATTCCATAACTGTTTTATAAAACTGTTGGTATCCGGTAACTGTAACACTATAAAAATACTTAATAATTAAACATACCTACGGCGTTTCTAAAAAGCATGACAAACTAAACAAAGTTTTTTTTAATAAATACCCTGAATATTAACTTCATATTTGAATAGAAGGGAATTGAAGAATATGCAATTTGGACGATCTACTAATAAGAAGACATTGTTATTAGAACATAACATAAGTGTATTGTATTGTCTTTTTTATCATTAGAAATAACAATATCATAGAAAAAATTAAATGGAAGTGTACGATATAAACAACAGACATCAAGAATTTCTATTTCTATCTAATAAGTGGATTATATGACTTTCAACTGACTTTTGAAATCCATTAATTTTAAATACTTTTTTAGTCTGAATTTTTGATTTGTGAATTTGTGATTTGTAAACGGATAGTAAGGTGTTAAGGACCAAAAATGAATGCCATTGCTGCAATTTTCAACTAGTTTGATGTACTAGTTTTAAAAATATTAAAATTAAAAAATGCTTTGACACTTTATAGACTAAAATCGAGCCGCTTGTTTGGCTCAATCGTTCTATCTCCTTAGAATATTCTCCATATTTTGATAACCAAGCGAGTACATTAATAATAATTTCATTTCAGGTTAGAAAACACCGTCTTTACGGGTTTCGAAGTGACGAGCAATCGCATCTTCCTCGCAACACCGAGATTGCGTGTCGGAGTTCCGGCCACCCTGTCGACCATCCCCAGAAATACACCCCCGGGATCCAGCCCCGTCCTTCAAGCCTTCCCGGATTGGTCCATGCACGGAGCCGTTCGAGGGGACGTCAACTGCACCGGGCTTATTTCCGTTTATAGAATCAGGGCTGATTCCTGTAACAGGTTGTGGGTAGGTCACCATTAAAATTATAGCTTTCTCTTTTTTCGGTAGTCATGTAATGTTATGTGACTGACTGAGATGAGAAATTGTCTTTAATATTGTTTCAAGTATTACCAGTTTTGCTAAAAATGAAATATTTTTTTCATTATTATTCCAAATTGACAATGTGCGAAGAACACATAAAGTGATAGTATAGTGTTATTATTATTTTTAAACTAAACTATTTATTTATTTAAACTAAACTATCCAACAGGAACAAATCCTAATTACAGGATTTTAGAAGAAAGAAAAAAATAAATGTAAATATAAATACACACAACAAAGATATTTCCGTAGGAAATTTTCGTTAACTACGACGAAACGAATAATACTAAGAAAACAGTAAACGACGTACGCAATAAAAAAATGTATTCGCCTCGAGAGAGTTGTCACCCCTCGCCGAAACCACACCAGACATCCCCTTGTGCAAATCTAAGGAGCAAAGAAAGCTTCATGAGGGATGCTTGCCAGAAACTCATGCCAATCAACGTAAGCGTGAATGATTTTTTCCTCGAGTGAGGGGGAAGTTTTCCGCGAAGAGAAACAAAACAATAAAAGGAAAAAACCTTAAAGAAATTTAGAAGGAAGGAAAAACTTATTCAAGGATGTAGATTGCCATCCTAGCAGTTGTATAACCGCTACCAGTTCTAAAGCGAGGTTTACTCTGAAATAAAAAGTAATGAGGGTGCTGTTGCCCCTAATACGGTAAATCAGCATCTCAGTAACAGACAGCCGAAGCCAGACTGCACGGTAGTGTCACTGGGCGGCTAACCAGTACTCGACCAATGTTAACGGCCCCACCTTTTTCTTCTTCTTCTACTAGTGGTTAGTCCTAATCAAGTCCCATAGTACCGTGGCCTTATCAGCCCTATTGTACGTCTCACTACTCAGTCCTACTCTGCGAGGAGTATTGCCCGTTTTACAAAGTTCAAAAGCTTCCTTACCGACACTCTCTCAGCTCCTTGGGCTCAAGATAGGGTTTTCCCAGGAACATCATTCTACTACGTGCAAATCTTGGGCACTCGGCCCAGGATATGCAGATAAGTTCCATCCGCCAAGTGACATTGCGGCAGACCTGACTGTCTACAAGCTTTAGCTTGTATAAATTTTTCCTAAATTGACAGTGTCCCATTAGAACTCCCGTCACTTTCCTGAGCCGAATTTTAATCAAGCTCAGCAACTCATTTGTTCTTTCCTTTAAAGGACATTTCATAAGATCCTTCGCATAGCTTTGCCCTGGCCTTGAAGCGTTCTAACTCGGCCCATTTGTCCAGAGACTCCCTGACCACAATGGAGATGTGCCCGGAAGTTCATCTGCTTTCTCGTTTCCATCAATGCCTCCTTTATGTCCTAGTACTCAACACGGTCTAACTGTAGCCAATTCAGTCAGCATTTGTAAACATTCCCACAAAAGTTTTGAACACCTTGGTGTGTTTAAACCCCGTGTTTGATCCCCTATTAGAGTCTCAAATGGTTTGTGGAAGTGGAACCATGGACCATCTTGTCGGATACCATCTCCAGAGTTGGTTCCGACATAAATGTGTCCATAATCCTGGGATAGGGACTACCTCTCCAGTCGTTATTATTCCTGAGTCAGTATGCTGTTAACCGCGTTTCTCTTTCCACCACTATATGAAGCGGTGGTAGATTTAGCATGACTTCTAGTGCAGCCCCACCAATACAAACCTCTCTTCTACTAACTTCACCATTTAAAATAGTCACCGAGATTCTACCACCCCTACAAGATTCAAGCATCTTAGCAAAAAACAACTTACACTACTCCAATTAATTAGGCCGATCACATACCAATAGCAAAACCATCATTATAATAAACAAAACCCAATAAACTTAATATTGGCCAAAAACCCAGTCAAAGTGTCTCCATGGGACGTTAAGAAAATACACGGTAGACAGGTAAAGCATACCTCACCGCAAGTGTGTCATTGAAGTAGTGCCTAGCAGCAAATCAAATAAACAACTAACCTAAAGATATCGCCAAACCTAATAGGTACACAAAAGCCTTATACTGTAAAAAAATCGGTGTGAGTGAAAGCAATAAAGGTTCGAAGTGAATTCATTGGGTGAAATTATCATCTCAATCTCAGCTATCTGGTCTCAGCCAGGACAGGAGGAGGTCCCCGCGAAATGAATTAATTTCAACATTATATATCCTAATTAATCATTTGAGTGATTTATTTTTGCCCTCAATATTTAGTTAATTAAAAACCAAGTCTGAGTAAAAAATTACTCAATAATAGTTAAATTTAAATCATATTAGAGAAAAAGTTAACTCTAGATTGGTTTTATATAATCAGAGTAGAGTCAAAAGTAGCTCAGTTGATAGTTAGCAGTAACTCGGATTTGAGTAAAACTCTCTCATTTCTGACGCAATAGTTTCACTTAATCGGGTGTAGACAGAAATTGATACATTATTGAGTAAAATTGAGTGAAAGAGTGAATTTTTTTAGTGTAAATTGTTTTAAACTAGTAAGGTGCAACTAGTATCCTGTAATAATAAGCATCAAGTTTAAAATTTCAAGAAGTGGGATATGGTAAAAAACATACCAAACGAAGGACTACGGCAGTTTCCTCATTTATTTAAACAATTTTCAATATAATCTGCTTTAACTTCAACGCAACAATGGTAGGTTTTGTATTATTTTTTTAACGTCCTGCGTAGGTAAATATATTCGTAAATAATTTGGTTAATTTTGTAATCACTAGCATTGTAAGCTTTTATAATTTTTAACTTTGGTGCTAGCAAAAATATATTAAAAAATAAATAAGTTATGCAAGTTAATATTAACTTGCATAACTTATTTATTTAATTAAATTCAGATTTATACCATTATTCCATGAAACAAAATTATTCCTCGAACTTTTTGTTGATTTTTCTTAGACGACCTGTAAGAAAACATAAATAATTATTTCATTAAATAATTTAGTATTAATTATATCGATAAAATGATAAATAAATATTTTTTTATTGAGAATCATTAATATTACATACATGCTTATAATGGGTTCTTTCAACTGAATCATTTCCTCTACTTAAATTGTCAGGTAATATTTGTTCCACATATTCATTCTTAGAAACCAAGTCAACATTACTAAAAACTAGGTTGTATGTATTTTAAGCATTGTATAATCTTAGGAAATAAGTTTATCTTAAGAAAATTTCACTCTCGCATAAGTCTAATTTTTATTACTACTATTAGAGGTATAAGTGTATTTTGCAGCAATACTAAATTATTATGCCCGCTAATTCAGAACCACAAGTCATGTATATCAAGCTAACCGTAATAAGTAATGATTAGTAAAAATAGCTTAACCGTTTAATCATAAACTAATTTTTATCGGTACGAGATCTGTTTCAAGTCAACTGAACTAAATATTAGACAAATACTGAAACATGATCGACCATAATTTACTGATGATTTTATTCCAATATAACTCACTAATTAAGATAGCGTTGATCAAAATATAGATAAAACCTTAGTCAGTGTATTTATTAGAAGACAACAAAGTAACAAATAACTTGCATCGGTAATCTTTTATTTTTAACGACGAAAGAACGTACATTCAAGGTGTAACTTTGAATGTGGGGTCATATTTATGCAGAGGTTACCTTTGATCTTTAGAAATACATATCAATAGTTTATTTTCTCGTATTACAACCTACGACCGAATTCCAGGATTCAACAAACCCCTAAAATGTAACCAGCAACGTCCTAGGATGTTCCGCAATCATGCCAGACCACGTCGAGGACGAATCCGACGTCATGTACTCCCCGACGTGCCTGCCAAAACATTTTCCGAAAGGAGGCAATTTCGCCTCACTTTCGAGGACAATAAAAAAAAATCACCACGGTCGAGGATCTGGACACCGTCTTAGTTCCGGACTACCCGCCACTCCACCACGGTACAGTTTCCGACACCGGACCCGATGTCGTTGGAAGCCTCAAATACCGACTCCGCATCACAGCGCGGGTGTCGGTCCGTAGAATGAGGCCAATCGCTCCGAGGATGGCTCCGTGGAAGCCCAACTTTCGACGATGTTTCCAATTTCTCCAACACCGCGGCCGATCTCGCTCGGGTATGCCACCAACGCTCTCTGTGTCCGCAGCAGCGACGATCGCTATCCGACGACGAACCCCGGCGCGCTCCAGGATGATTTTCGGAAATATCCGTCAGAAGTTTTACCACACTTTCCATCCAAGGACGTTATCGGCGTTTCCAGTTTCGAGCGATTTGCTTCAAAATAAAATGCAGCATACTACACCTTGCTGACATTGCTCCATCTAAATTCGAACAGATTCGTATGGCCTATTACGCTGTTATGTGGGGAAACGTGGATTTTACGTTTTCCGCGTTTTCAGCCGTTCCACCCATCCGATCTGGGCCGAACCCTCCAACCACAGTACATCACATTACCGTGGTCACCATAGTCCAAATACGAGCCGAGTTGGAAATGAAGGATTTCACGTTTTCCGAAATTCCTCCTAATAAGTTCTCACGATCTCGCTCGAACCATCAAACCACGGTTCTACCCCATGCCGTGCATACACCCAGTTAATTTGGAGAATATCTAATCAGGCAAAAGCTATCCGTAAGACTTCCCACAAAGACGGAAAATGTTCAACCATCCATCAACCAACCACTATTTCAACCACTATTTCCGTCTTTGGCAACAAAAATCCATCTTGCGAGGGTCCCACCGCTCCAGCGACTCGATTCCCGTGTTCGATATCCAAACCCGCATCCGAGACCAACATTGACCGAAAATCGGAAAATCACATTTTCCGAAATTTTCCGAACATAAGGCCAATTTGCCCGATACTTTGGAAAATAAATGTCTCGACTTTCGGAAAAAATCCAGAGAGGCCAAGGGGAAGGTGTTCCACAGCGTCGGACGTTTTTGGTGAATCCTTCTGGCGGAAAATACGATAGCGTCCCGCCAAACACATGGA